AGCCTGCCCAAGAACCTGCTGAAGGAGCGGTACGAAGTACGGTCGCGGCCGCGCAGCGTCTCCAGAAGCAGAAGAGACTCCAGCGGCCGGGTCCTCAGTACCAGTAGGAGCTCCAGCGTCCGGGTCCACAGCACCAGCAGCAGCTCCACCGGCCGGGTCCTCAGCACCAGTAGTAGCTCCAACGCCCGGGTCCTCAGCAGCAGCAGCAGCGCCACCGCTCGGGTCCTCAGCTCCAGCAGCAGCTCCACCGTCCGAGTCCTCAGCACCAGCAGCAGCTCCACCGCCCGGGTCCTCAGCACCAGTAGAAGCTCCAACGTCCGGGTCCTCAGCACCAGCAGCAGCGCCACCGCCCGGGTCCTCAGCTCCAGCAGCAGCTCCAACGTCCGAGTCCTCAGCACCAGCAGCAGCTCCACCAGGCGGGTCCGCAGCACCAGCAGCAGCTCCAACGTCCGGGTCCTCAGCACCAGCAGCAGCGCCACCCCCAGGGTCCGCAGCACCAGGAGCACCACTCCGAAGACTGCAGCGCCGTGTGTACCACTCGCGGATCTGCTGAATGGGGGGGAGCTCCCGGGTAGGAGGGGAAGTACCGGGACGAGCTCCAGCAGCACCTCTCCGGAGGCGGCAGTACTCGAGGTACCTCTCCTGCAGCTGCTGGGAGGAGAGGGCTCCTCCAGGTGTAGCACGCTCAGGCTCAGCACCCCCGGACTCAGCACCCCCAGACTCAGCACCCCCAGGCTCAGCACCTCCAGGCTCCGCACCTCCAGGCTCCGCACCCCCAGACTCAGCACTCCCAGGCTCAGCACCCCCAGACGCAGCACCCCCAGGCTCAGCACCCCTAGCAGGACGAGAGTCAACAGCTACCTCGACAGGCTCACCCGGGTCTACCTGGGACACACCTGAGGGAGCGGCACCCTGAGGGGGGAGGGGGTCTGGTACCTCAGCACCTGGAGCGTGTTACTCCTGTACTCCGGGGCACTCATTCCCGGTAGCCACTGTGTCGCACCAGAGCCGTCTGTTGCCCGTGTGTCTGCAGCTTCAGTCGTCGCCTCCTAATCTACTCTCCTCTCGCCAGCCCTCCTCCTCCTCACTTGCCCTCTGTGACTGCCTCTAGCTTTGCTCATAATTGTGAACTTGAAACTATTGCTTCTTGAACTTGTGCTCAGAATGTGTGGTGACATCGTGATCCACCCTGAGCTTGTACTGCTTTGCTTGCTCTGCTGATTACACCCCACTTTGGCTATGGGGGTGTGTCAGAATATTATGCTCTAGCCTGCAGTGGGGTGCTCTATAGCGAGTACAACCCTTCTAGGGTTAGCTATTTGTACCACCATTGTTGCTAGTGCAAACCTCTCCTTTGCTTCATTCTCTCTTGCCTAGCTAGGGTTTACCTAGCTATGGCTCCTCATCGTGCTAACTATCACGACATTAACACTTGGTATCAGAGCCTAAGTTCCTAGGTTCCCCGTTTTTTAGAGTGTATTACCCCTCGGGGGGGGGACAGGGAAGGATGCCGTGGTGACAGGAGTAGCGCAGTAGCCGGCCAGGAGAACGGGTAGTTGCTCCTAGCGGCCATGAATTTCTCTGACGCTCCTGCGGCACCGACGGGCCTTGGGTCAGCTCTAACCGTGCGTTTGTGGAGGGCACTGTGGCTAACACGTTTGTTGTCGATTCCGTTAATCTGCGCACGACGAAGTCGGAGTTAATGCGTGCGGCACGTGGCGACGGGCGTTTTCGTCATGCTGCGCACGAAATTCTCGGAGGTCTTCGGCACGTGGTGAACATGGTCACTGTGCGCGAAGGTTTCGGGTAACTTCACGGCAGAAACGACAGCTGGCCGGGCAGGCCAGGCGCATGGTGATTTGCGTCGGAAAATGCAACGGCAAGGAGAGACGGTGTGACGACTGCTCGAAGAAAGCGGGGGTCTACTGTCGTTCTGCCCTTGTGCGGTCGGTGTGGCTGCAGGATGGTGCGTCGTTTGCGTTTTCGGAAGGAGCGGCACAGTGTGGGACGGAAGTTGTTCTTCAAACCACCGAAAAGATCGGAAAAAATCCGCCTACGACTAGACTGTCTATCGCTAGGGTCACTGCTGCACCTGCACCACGATCGGCGAAATTTTCGGAGCAACAAGCAGCAGCCGACACTGTACTTCAGGCGGCACAGTACTTCCTGATCAAGGGTGGGTGCGTCGCAGACAGGGCAGTACACCAGCGGGACAACGTTTCGGCGCAGTGTTTAGACCCGCGATTTTCGGGGGTTCTACCGGCTACAATACACGGAGTTGCGTCGAGATCGGGTTTAGCGAGAGAAACGGGTTTCGAGCTTCAGGAGGCGAGAATTACGACCCACGGGGAAACGCTCAAGCTGATGCCTAAACGTTTGCGGCTAAGCGGCGGTAGCCGGATGGGTACCACTACCGGCCGAGGTTTCCGAACGTTTCACATACCTCACGCCCAGAAGGCCTCGAAGGCAATTAGTAAGTCCTATTGGCCACTGGATCCAAAGGTGGGGCCCTGTGTTTAGCCCTGTGCTGGCTAAAAAGCGCGGGTATTGCGCCAGTTCGACAGCTGGGCATACAAAAAAAATTTCAAGGTTGCGACACTGCCCTGACAAAACCGGACCATCGGCAGCAGTTACCCCGCCGAAAAAGTCGGAGCTGGAGATTTTGGTGCAGCTTTCGGGGTTTCTCCTAATTCAACCGGTCTACCCAGCAGCGGTGTAGCTGCGAAGACGGGGTCTTCGAAGCTGTGGATTTTTTAAGCGTGATAGACGCGGTGGGCAACGATGCGGCCGGCCCGACTGTTTGATCCGATAAACATGATCCGGCTACGATAGCGTTCGTGCCTTCACCGAATGTCAGAAAAATCGCGGGCAACACCGAGCAATACCTCATCGGACAAAAGCGGACGCTGGGTGAACGGCGGCAAGCGAAATTGTCGGGGGGTGAAGACAAAAAACAAATGGAGGGAAATTTGTGGGTGCTCCAGCAGATCTCCAGAGTGAAAGGTTGAGCCCGTACACCAATCCACCCGAATTTCGGAGTCTATTCGGTAGACCCCCAAAAAGGTTTGATATTGTTACATGGAGGCGCGGCGAGCGGTGTATCGCCAAGGATACCTGGGATTCGCTAAGTAATTTCGACGGGTGCGAAGACGGGTGAACGTCGGAGTACCAGGGTTAACGGCGGAAACGTCGGGGTTACGCGGCGGAAAATACTTCGGGACTGCTTCAACAACCATGATTTTCGGGGTTCTTTCCTACGGTGGGAGACGGGTGAACGTCTGCTCGCCAGCTGTTTCTTCGTTTTACGGTGTACTTCGAAGCCATCTGGGGAATTTCTGCGGCGAGATCTGTTTCTCCTGGTACCCAGTGGAGGCTCCAGCGGCCGGTCTACGGTCTCCGCTAGGCGCCACGTGAGTGGCACGACACACTGAGGACTACACTTGCGGCTCTTGGGTTCACTCCTTCTACTGCTGACCTGTCGCTGTTTCTACGCACCGACACCTCGCTGCCGCCGTTCTACATCCTCGTGTACGTCGACGACTTGGTCTTTGCCACTGCTGACACTGCGGCACTCGCAGAAGAGACACACGTGCACAGACCTGGGTGAACTGACAAGCTATCTTGGCTTGCGGATCACTCGGGACAGAGCACGGTGCACCATCACCTTGACTCAGTCACACATGGTGCAGCAGATCCTTCAGCGCTTCCGCTTCACGTACTCCTCGCCTCAGTCCACTCCTCTGCCTACTGGTCACTCGCTCTCAGCTCTGCCTTCGGATGAGTCCGTAGAGCCGAGTGGCCCGTATCCAGAGCTTGTGGGCTGCCTCATGTACCTGATGACCTGCACTCGACCTGACCTTGCATACCCTCTTAGCATCCTTGCACGCTATGTCGCTCCTGGCCGTCACAGGAAGGAGCACATGGATGCCGCTAAGAGGGTGTTGCGCTACTTGTGTGTTACGTCGGGCATGGGGCTAGTGCTTGGAGGGCGAGACCGAGTTGTACTTACTGGACACTCAGACGCTTCTTGGGCGGACGACCAGGCTACTCAGCGGTCGTCTCAGGGTTACACCTTCAGTCTTGGCTCTGGCTCAGTTTCTTGGCGTTCTACACGCTCTTCTTCTGTTCTCAGCTCCAGTTGTGAGGCTGAGATCTACGCCACAGCCATAGCTGCACAGGAGCTACGCTGGCTGACCTACCTGCTGACTGACTTGGGAGAGCGGCCTCAATCTCCTCCAGTGCTGTACGTCGACAACAAGGCTGCCATTGCCTTGTGTGAGGAGCACAGACTGGAGCACAGAATGAAGCACATCGCCCTGCGGTACTTCCTTGCTCGAGAGCTGCAGCAGCGCGGTCAGCTTCGTCTGCATTACGTGGCCACTGAGGCCAACACTGCTGATGTGTTCACCAAGGCGCTTCAGCCTTGTGACCATCAGCGCTTCTGTACTCTTCTAGGCCTTGTGCCTGTTGGACCTCACTTGCTTACCTCTTGACTCTGTTTGTACTGTGATCTCTATATATATACCTGCATGTTTACTCTTGCTAGGTTGTGATCACTGTATCCCTTGTTATATTATCAATCTGCATGTGAACTGGTCTTGTGACCGCTTGCTTGTGCTCGGAATTTGTGTGGTATCCTTGAGATCCACCCTGAGCTTGTTTTGCTTTGACTGGTCTTGTGACCCCTTGCTCTCCCCACTTCGCCTATGGGGGTGTGTCAAACATTATACATGTTATATTTGTGTAGGCTATAGTGGGTTAGCCTGTAGGGGGGTCACAATTCTAGGGTTTCATATTTGTACCAAACTCACTGCTAGTTCATTCATTCCTGCTCAGTTATTCTGACAATCTGCTGGAAGTACATCCGACCATCCGTACGCGATCAGTTCACAGTCAACGGCTCCATTCGGGTCGTTGAGCAATTCTACGGTATGGACCTGGAAGTCTCTGGAGCAAAGGCGTTCGTCTGGCCGATTGAACTGGTTGACCAAAATCGGCGAATGGCGGAGACACGAGCCCCGAAAGTTTCATGTTACGGAGTAAATGCAACCCAAGCATTTTACGAGGCGTTGGATACGTACGCAGTCAAGGGGAAATCGGTGCTGGTGATAGGGAGCCAAAAACCTTGGCTTGAGGCGATGCTCTTGGCGTTTAAAGCAGGACCGATCACGACCGTTGATTTCAACAAACCGGTTGCAGATTATCCTGGGTTGAGGCTGTGGAATATTGCTGAGCTGGAAGCTACAGATGAGACCTTTGACGTAGTAGCTTCATATTCGTCGCTGGAGCACGATGGGCTGGGGAGATATGGCGATCCGATAAACCCGAATGGGGATCTGCACAGAATTATTAAGGTACTGCATCCTGCCATGTCGTTTGAGTCAACTGCCAGCGCGTCCTTTCCATGACCTATCGAGTTAAACTGTCCTGTCCCATGACCTCCTCTCACAACATTTCACTCCTATCATTTGCAATCTCCTTTCATTCGGCCACCTCACGAGTCCCCCACATCATGACGTTCTTCCTTCGTTGCATATCCTCCGAGGACCACCTGCCTCTGGTCAATGGTCCGAATCTGCTAGGACGCTTCCTCCTGGGTGTCCCAGCGTGCAATGGCACGCATTCCCATCTCATGCATTCCCATTCCTTGGCATCCCCTCCTCCTCTTTGCTGATGTTCAGATCAAGGGTCTTCTCAAGCCAGGGGGGATTTTATTCCTGGGGTTACCAGTGGGCAATGACACGCTGGTGTTTAATGCGCATCGGGTGTACGGTTTCATCCGTATGCCGATGATGCTCAAGGGCTGGAAGCTGCTGGACGTGTTTGGGGTGTCGAGGCAGCTTATAGGGAGAATCTAAATGCAATCACCGTGCAGCCGGTCATGGTGTTGAGGTAGAGTTATTAGTAGAATGCAATATTTTTCATGCTTGCCATAGTGATGCATATGTTTTTTTGCCGTGAATCGAGCTTCCAATGCACACTTCCTGAACGCCGAAGGAATAACACTGTTACGGTACCAGTTTCTTGTCAAACTATTTATGTTCTAGTATAGTATGTAGGCTGTAGTGGGGTAGCCAATATGGGGTATTACCCCTTTAGGGTTTTCATATGTACCCAACGCATTCATAGTTCCATTCCTGCTCGTTAGGTTCTGACATGGTATCAGAGTCCGTAGGACCGTTTTTTCCGGGCCCACCATTACCTAGTGACCGACTGCGGTTACTGCGTTACCCCACACCTTGCCCTGCGCTGTGCCGTTAGCGCGCGCCCTGCCCTGCCATGCCTTGCGTCACACTGCCCGTGTACGCCCTGCCCTGCCCCGCGTCGCGCTGCCCCGCGCACGCCCTGCCCTGCCCCGCGTCGCGCTGCCCCGCGCACGCCCTGCCCTGCCCCGCGTCGCGCTGCCCCGCGCACGCCCTGCCCTGCCCTGCATCCTGCTGCAGCCCGCGCGTCGCGCCCTGCTGCCCTGCGCGTCGCACCCTACGGCAGCCCGCGCGTCGCGCTCTGCTGCCCCGCGCGTCGCGCTCTGCTGCAGCCCGCGCGTCGCGCCCTGCTGCCCCGCGCGTCGCGCCCTACGGCAGCCCGCGCGTCGCGCTCTGCTGCAGCTCTCGCGTCGCGCCCTGCTGCCCCGCGCGTCGCGCCCTACTGTAGCCCGCACGTCGCGCCCTGTTGTCCTGCACGGCGTGCACCCTGCTGCCCGCGCCGCCCAGCCCGAGCCGCGCCGGCCAACCCGAGCCGCCCTGCCCTACCCGATCCACCCTGCTGCTCGTGCTACTGCTGCTGCTTGTGGTGGTGGTACTAAGAGTGCTGGAGGTGCTGCAGCCTAGCCTCTCTGAGCCGCTCTGCTGCTCTTACTGCTGCTGATGCTACTCGTCCTGCTGCCTTCTCTCCGCACTGCCCTCCTAGTCGCGCGCCTCCCTGCTTGCCCGCTATGAATCCACTTCGTAGCAGCGGTGGGAGTGGTTACGGCGGTGGTGGCAGCAGTGGGAGTGGTGGCGGTGGCCGCAGTGGCGGTTGCGGTGGAGCTGTTTAGTGTGGAGTTTCTGGCGGTGGCCAGATGCAGCTGCAGCAGCGTCCGCGCGAGACCCTTACGCGCCAGCAGCTTCGTGAGTGGTACGCCAGCCGCTGTCGCATCGGCGGCTGTAGTGGTAGTCGCGGTGGAGCTGTTCGGTGCGGAGTTTCTGGCGGTGGCCAGATGCAGCTGCAGCGGCGTCCGAGCGAGACCCTTACGCGAGTGCCTGTAGCTTCGTGAGTGGTACGCTCAGAGTGGGGGGTGTAGACGAGAGTACTGCCCGCTGCCCATACGTCATTCGCACTGGTTATCGGGCTGGTCAGACTTGCGGGTAATTTAGTCACACACAGTCGCTGCTTCGCCTGTCTGAGTGACACTTGACGTGCAGTGTTTGGCGACGAGGCTGAGCTCCCCCCCTGGCTACAGTTGCTGCGCAACAAGGTGGATATCTTTGCTCTAGACTATGACACTATCCTTACTGCCATGTATGTACGCTCTGACAGGTAGTGCTGAGGGTGACTGTTACCTGTGTGTGCCCCCTGACCCTGGTAGCGGCTGCTGCTCTAGGTGCTAGTGAGTCTGCTCTCTCTGGTACTGCGCCTGCTGAGGCCTTGCACACCTTCACACTTGACTCAGGTGCTACTCACTGCTTCTTTTGCGACAGTACCACACTCACACCACTCCCTAGACCCGTTGCAGTCTCACTGGCTGACCCCTCCTGGGGCCCGGTGCTTGCACGTTCCACAACTGTGCTCCCTTGTCCGGCAGTTCCGTCTGGCTCACTGTCAGGTCTCCACCTCCCCTCGTTCTCGACGAACTTGGTGAGCAACACTGCCCTTCAGGATGTGGGGGTAATACCTTCACCCCTGCATGGCAGCGTGTGGCAATGTGCACGTGTGCACGGACTGGCCGTCACCTGGCCACGTTCACCCGTCGGCCTGGGTCGAGCCTGTACACACTGACTACTGAGTCTCCCCAGGTAGCTGCATTAGGTCAGGTAGCTGCGTCCGGTCAGGCAGCAGCCCCTTGTGCATGTCGCCACCTCTCACACTAGATTCTCCTCTGGCACCACCGCCTTGGTCACCCCTCCCTGCCACGCCTCCGTGGCATGCACAGTCCCCCGCGTCCTTGTCTCTGGTCTTCCCAGGGTCCTCCCTCTGTGCTCCCCTGCCCCTCCCTGCATTCCTTGCACCGAGGGGCGGCAGCGCGCTGCTCCTCACTCCTCCTCGTTTCCCCCGACAGAGGCTCCCCTGCAGACTCTCCACATGGACGTGTGGGGCCCCGCCCGCGTCCATGGACAGGGCGGCGAGCTGTACTTTTTGCTGGTTGTTGACGACTACAAGCGTTGCACAATGGTCTTCCCCTTTCTCGCAAGGGTGACGTCCCTGCTGTCTTGATCCCTTGGATCCGCGCAGTCTGTCTCTAGCTCAGCGAGCGCTTCCGCTCGGACCTTTCTGTCCTGTGTCTGCACTCTGACAGAGGTGGTGAGTTTTCCTCCGACCTCTTGCGGGCCTCCTGTCAGGGAGAGTGCATCCTCCAGTCGTTCACGCTTCCGGCCTCCCCGCAGCAGAATGGGGTTGCTGTTAAGGCGAAGCCCTGCACGCGCCTGGTTTCGCGTGTAGCAGCCTTATACGATGTAGCGAGGTATCGCATACCGCATATCAGAGCTTCGGTATTCGCCGAGTACACTCCAATCTGTGCACTTTGGTATGCACTGTTCAACATTGAACCGAATTGGAGGGAAGTGATGACATTGCACAAACGAGTATGTGCAGCTGTCTGTTGCGAGCACCTGCGCAACTACTCCTGGGCAGGTAGAAAATGCACCTGATGGTATTTTCACCTGGTGACATTTTCACCTGGCGGTGCCAACCTGGAACCGCATACTAGAGTAGGTGCTTGCACGTTCTCCTTGAACAACGTTCTTCATGAACAACGTTCTCGTAGAACGTTCTCGCACATGTCACTATGATTCCTATAAGGTTCATGTTGTATCTGTTGTAATCTATCAGTCAATCAATTACTTTCCTTCTGTTGCTGCATACCAAGCATACTGTTCTCCAAATACCAGTATCCGGTTTCCAGCGAGTCCATATCGCAAACCTCGCATTGCACTCTTTGATCGTGCAACTCTGCGCCTAGGCTCTCCCACAATCGCCTATTCACCGCAGTTGTTGAGCGCCGCATTGGCTTAGTCATGGAGATCGCTCGTACAACCATGATTTATGCGGATGCTCCCCATTTTCTGTGGCCGTTTGCGGTCCGGTATGCTGCGCATCAGCTCAACCTCTGGCCCCGGGTCTCCTTGCCGGGTACCTCGCCGACACTACGTTGGACGGGGGAGATTGGCAATGCGTCGCGTTTCCGGGTCTGGGGCTCTCGTGCCTTTGTCCGCGATACCACCGCGGGCAAGTTCTCCCCTCGCGCCATTCCCTGTGTCTTCCTTGGCTTTGTCCCTGACGCGCCTGGCTGGCAGTTTTACCACCCCACCTCGCGACGTGTCTTCCCCTCCCAGGACGTCACGTTCGACGAGTCGGTTCCCTTTTACCGTCTCTTCCCCTACCGCACTGCCCCTCTCCCCCCCCACCCGCTGCTCTTCCTCGCTCCAGGTCCCCCTCCGGTAGACCCCCTCCCCCCTCAGGGTCCTGCTCCTTCAGGTGTGTCTCAGGTAGACCCACCCTCCTTTGCTGAGCCTCTCGATGTCACTGTTGACTTAGGTGCTGCTGGGGGTGGTTCTGCTCGGGGTGTTGCATCTGGGGGTGCTGAGCCTAGGGTTGCTGAGTCGGAGGGTGCGGAGCCTGGGGGTGCCGAGCCTGGGGGTGCGGAGCCTGGGGGTGCTGAGCCTGGGGGTGCTGAGCCTGGGGTTGCGGAGCCTGGGGGTGCTGAGCCTCGGGGTGCTGAGCCTTCGGGTGCGGAGCCTGGGGGTGCTGAGCCTGTGCGTGCGGATTTGAGGGGTGTTGAGCCTGAGCGTGCGGCACCTGAGGGTGCTGCGTGAGGGGGTACTGAGCCTCGGGGCACTGCGTCTACTTTGCGGGTGCCTCGCTCGCCGCAGCAGCTACGTGAGTGGTACGCTACGTGCACTCGCTATCGGCCTGGCACTGCTGGTCCTGGAGGCGTTCGTCCTGGACGTGCTGGAGCTAGGGACGGTGGCGGTGCTGCTGGAGCTGGCGACCCTGGAGCTGGAGGTACCGGAGGATCCGGTGCTGCTGGAGCTGGAGACCCTAGAGCTGGAGGTACCGGAGGAGCTGGAGCTGCTGGTCCTGGAGGGACTGCTGCTGGAGGTGCTGGTGGTACGAGTGCCACTGGTCCCGGAGGTGCTCGCACTTCGGGTGCTGGAGCTGCCGGAGCTGGTGGTGCTGCGGGCTCTGGAGCTGTAGGGACTGGAGCTGGCATTTCTGGAGCGGCTGGAGACCCTGGAGGTGCTGGTGCTGTCGGAGCTGGTGGTACTATCGGCACTGGCGATGCTGGTGGAGCTGACACTGCTAGTCCTGGAGGTTCTAGATGTGCTCTCTCGCCGCAACAGCTACACGAGTGGTACTCTCAGCACTGCCGCCGTCTGCATGGCGCGGCTGGAGCTGGATGCACTGCGACTGGAGACGCGGGAGCTGGAGGTACTAGAGCAGCCAGAGTTGGTGGTGCTGCGGACTCTGGGGCTGTAGGCGCTGGAGCTGGAGTTTCCGGAGCTGCTGGAGACCCTGGAGCTGCTTGTTCTGGGGGGACTACAGCTGCTGGAGCTGGGGGGACTGCAGCTGCGGGAGCTAGTGGTGCTGCTGGTACTGGAGGTGCTGGTGGTACGAGCGCCGTTGGTGCTGGAGGAGCTGGTCCTGGGGGTACCGCACCGTAGCG